TATAACTATATAACTATATAACTATATAACTATATAACTATATAACTATATAACTATATAACTATATAACTATATAACTATATAACCATAACCATAACACTAACTAACTAACTATATATATATATATATATATTTAGTTAGTTAGTTAGTTAGTATACAATATATATATATAATATATATATTGTATATGAATTATGCTGTTACAAACTCTTTTTTGGGAGGATTAAAAACGGGAATGGAAATGAATTAAAATATATAGATAAACTTTGGCAAAGTGGAAAGGAAGAAAAAATATGATTATTAATGATTATAAGTAAAGTGAAGATAAAATGAGACATATTAAGAAGTTATTTTAGTGATTTACTGGGGGGGATACTTTAAAATATGTACGTTTTAAAATATACAGTTGATTATTTAATGGATATTAGAAATGTACAATGAGAGTATTTTATTATGATTAAAGTAGGGGAATGAAAAATACCATGTGGATCCTAAATATATTGACTTCATTTTACTTTTACTCTTTTTAGATTGTTTATTATATATTGGCTTCGAGAAAATTAAGGATAATAATGATGTGTAATGTAAAATAAAATAGGTGGTAAGCTGAAAATGGAAATAATTAGGGGATAAAGAATTGAAAACCTATGTGTGGATGAAATGATATTGATATTGAATTAATGAATTGAAATATGAAATGCAAATTTATTTAAAGATGAGTGAAATGGATAATGATAGGAGATGATATTGTATAAGATTAATGGAAATGACTACTTTTATTTTTTAAAAAAAGAACCGGTAGCACTGAACACGTTATCTAGTTTGGTCATGAAACGTCTGCGAGAAAACATCCAGGCTCAAAGAGCACCAAGGAAGCCCTCCTTTCAACCCTGAGCTACAAAAATTCTCCTTCACTTGAGAAAACGTTCTCTCCAGCATGGAAGAGCCCTCCAAAGCATTTATAAGTTCACAACTCCTTGAGAACATTCACACAGATTTGCCAAACATCAATTGTAGGCTAATTTTGTGCACTGGCCTTTAACTTTTCCCATCATCTACAACTAGTTTTTCCTTTGAGCAGAACAGAGACCAAAGCTAGCAGCCTGACACATATCAGATGTTTCCTTTTTACTAACACAGTTTGTATCTTGATGCAATTCAATCATCTCTCTCTCTCTCTCTCTCTCTCTCTCTCTCTCTCTCTCTCACACACACACACACACACACACACACACACATCTAAAAACACTGAATCCAGAGGTTGTGAACTCACCATTGGGTTTCCTTTTCTAATTGAACTATTATTTACATTTCAATGTTGTTGGTTTTTTTTAAAAAAATCATCGATCGTTTCCTTTATTTTTCGTGTTGTTGTTGTTGTTTTAACCCTTCCCTTTTTTGGCCTGACTGTTTTTATGAGGCATGTCATGTTGCTGACTGTCATAAACTTCCTTTTGGTAACCTTCAGTTGCGTCGGAGGTGAAGTTCCCTTGTTTACGCTTTGTCCCTTTGAGCTTAGCACCTCCCAGTGAAAACTTTGAAGTTTTTCAACCCAATTCTTTTTTTTTTTTTTTTTAAGGGGGAGTTCAATTGGAGTATATTACTCAAAGCAAGACCTCACTCCCGGGACTGTTGCCCAGCCTAAAACAAACACGGACTTCTTCCAACTTGATTCTTGCTTCTTGTCATTGCATTTTCTACTCCAACGGCCACATTTAGAGACTGTTGAAGTTCCTCCACCCACTTCTGATTCCAAAGACAAGACTTATCTGGTATAAACACCCTGGGCCAAGGAAAAGCTGGATCATCTCTAAGTCCCTCCTAGGACCACCCAGAACTGATCTGCAACATTCTGAATGATGCCTAGATGTTTTTGCTCTTTCCTTGCTGCACTTTCATAGACTTCATGGGTTTCCTACCCCAGATTGGCAAGCCTGGGCTCGAACCCAGAGACAACTGAAGTGTAAACAACAGAACTGGCTTCTCCTGTTTTGTTTTGAAAAAGCAGCATAAAAACACCGGTGTTCCAGAAAGAAAGAAAGAAGAAAGAAAGAAAGAAAGAAAGAAAGAAAGAAAGAAAGAAAGAAAAGAAAGAAAAGAAATTGCTTTCCGACACTGAAATTTGGACTTTGCATTTCTCTCTATCACATGCTGCTATTTGCTTTATTGGAGAAAACAGAAAGAGAGGCTGATAATCTGGAAGGTTGTTTGGACTGTCCTGAACTGCACTTCCACCTTTGGAAGGTTGGACTCTCACCTGGCTGATGAATTAACCTGTCCCCGAGATTGTTCTCTTGGAGACATCACCAGTCTGAGGAAGGACATGGCCTCCATTTCTTACATCCTACGAGCCTGGATTTTGCTCTTCCTTCATGGTATGTATGGGGTTTGAGGCCAGGACACTCTTTCCTGAAACTGAGAAACCAGGAGAAACGATGTTTTACTTTGTGTTACTCTCCAGATTAGTTCTCGTGACTTCAATGGTATGGTGAGTACAGCAAAACTGAGAGGACTTCTCTGGGTTGATTTGACTCACCATGTAGCAACGAACGGCGACATTTCTTTCCTGGGCACCAGCTGCACATAGCATGGGATGCTTTTTCATTGCTTTCATTTCCTTTTCTTAGTTCTGTAGGACCTCCTGATCTAGGGACCGTGGGAAAAGTCTTGTTTAGGTACACGCCAAAGCAAGGGTCTCCAACCTTGGCAACTTTAAGACTTGTGGACTTCAACTCCCAGGAAGTTGAAGTCCACAAGTCTTAAAGGTTGCTAAGGTTGGAGACCCCTGCTCCAAAGGACAAAGTAGAAAGGCATGGAAAAGTAGAATGATAACAAGTTGGAAGGGACCTTGGAGGTCATCTAGGCCAACCCCCTGCTCGAGCAGGAGAGTCTATTCCAAATATTAGCCTCTACCCAGGATCGAACTCACAGCCCCCTGATTGTGAGTCAAGAACTCCACCTTTAGTTCCCTTTTCTGTAATATTAATGTCATGTATTGAGTCCAATCACAGCCAGTCAGAACTCTCTGGCCCATGAGATTGTCGGGACTAATTGATCCTATTTTGAAGTGAAGGGATGCAAATTATCTCTTTTTTTAAGTTTTATTTCAGTTTTCCACATTTTAAAAACATCTTTTTTTAGCGAACAGAATGATTCCAGGTTTTCACATTTCCATACAAACATGACTTTGATTACATACTCATCTTTTACATTTAGTTTCATATTACTTTACATATTTTCTATTATTTTAGGGATGCAAATGATCTCTTAATGATATTAAATCCAGAGTCCAAACTAATTAGAGCTGGCGGGGATCCAACATTTGCTATTTTTTTGCATATAGTTCTAGCCGGGGCCAGTCCCTATCATTAGGTGAGATCTAATGGCTAATTACAGTACTGATACAATACCGTATCAGCAAACTGTGGACTCTTTGATGCATTAATATGGTATTTGCCACGGCCAAGAAAGGAAACTAGAGAGAAACACTCATGAAATGTTTTGCCTTGACTGCTATAATAAGGTGACCAGCCTTGACTGCTGAATATCTTGAGCACGGAGCAGCACACCCATTCACAGTTTGTTTTGAAAACTTTTCTCATTTATTGTTACGCTAAAAATTTTCCCCGTGTTAAGATGGGTTCGTCTCCAGATTGCAGTTGACCCAATATCCTGCTGAGGAGAAAGGATGTTCCAGTGTTGTGGTCACAAGCAAGGTCAGATCAAAAGAGAGTGACATAGATTCGAACACACCAAAGCATTAAATGTGCAAAATGTACCTTTAGTGTGACTTTCTTTTTTTTTACTCAATTGGATGTTTGTAGCCCTTTTCTTGCGGCAGTTCTTGCAGTCGGAATCAAAGTTGGGTTCTGATCAGAACTCCAGTTTCTAAAAGGGCATCAGGGAAATTGGGATCCTATTAAATTTGGAGGTGAAAATATCAGCAGTAAGAATGACACCCAGGTCTTAAGTCCTTTCCACATTGCCAAGAGAAAGGACCTTGTTGTCATCACTTGCAGTGATGGTTGAAAATTGTATTTTTTGCTGTCTTCATTGCTAACTCCTTTCTGAACCTATCTTGGGCTCAGCAATGAGTGGGGATGCCCTGGTTTCAGATCTACAAGAAATATCAAGCAAAATGCTGGCTGGGGAATTCTGGGAGTTGAAGTCCGTATCTCTTATAAGATGCTGAGTTTTAGAAACCGTGCTAGAGTCAAGGGTGGGATTCAACCGGTTTGGACCGGTTTTATACAACTGGTTGTTATGATTCTGTGCAGTTCAGAGAACTGGCAAATCATGCCCCTGGCTGAGCCTGCCTATCTCCGCCTGCCCCTCCCTGACCAGTCAGTTCTTATTGCACAAGCCTGACATCATGTCATGGCCGACATCGCTGACTGCATTCTCCCTCCTCAGTAACTCCTTAAAGTATTTCTTTTTTTCCCCCCTCCTGACGATCAGCTGTTCTGATGATCAGCTGTGCCAGGACCCCCCTCGCTGTCTTTCTACTTCACCCAGGAGGCTTCCCTGAGGCCCAGGAGGCCAAAAAAATGGGGGGAGGGATGCTGCAAAAGAAGAAGAAACCACACCCACCCAGTCACATGGCCATGCCCACCTAGCCATGCCCAGAGAACCAGTTTGTTAAAAAATTTGAATCCTACCCCTGGCTAGACTAGAGTGTCTTCATTACAAAAATCTTCCCCTACATTGACCTGTTCCATATTAGCAGGCTTGAAACCCTGCATTCCTATTGGTCAGTGTTAACCGCTACCTGATTGGTCAGCCTGGGTGTTTATGATTGGCTCGCTAAGAGTCTGCCGCGATTGGTTAAAACCAAGCGTGGGAGACTCAAAGCGATGTCATTGGCCGCCAAGCCTCAGCAAGCTCTATAAAAGAGCCGCCGCGGCTGCTACCTTCCTGAGTCTGATCTAGCCTATTAATAAAGAGCTGTTGTTACTGAACCCGAGTCTCTCGTCTCTGAAATCCGTCCTTCCGAACTTAACAGACCAGAGGCTTTGAACAATACTGGGTAGGTAGATTCAAGCACCCTACTGACTTCCCACAATGCCTTGATGATGCTTCCTTCCAGGGCATCTAAATTAAAATGGTGCTAGATTCAGTCATCTCATCTTGAGGATGCACCTTCTCAAACTTCATTGATGACATTAAGGTGGCTCAGAACGTGAGTGTCTCTTATGGTTCCCAGCAAAACCTGAAAGTTGTGTCCTTAAAGGTAAAGGTAAAGGTTCCCCTGGCACCTACGTGCTAGTCGTTTCTGGCTCTAGGGGGCGGTGCTCATCTCCATTACAAAGCCGAAGAGCCAGCGCTGTCCAAAGACGTCTCCGTGGTCATGTGGCTGGCATGACAAACGCCAAAGGCGCACGGAGCGCTGTTCCCTTCCCACCAAAGGGGTCCCTCTTTTTCTACTTGCATTTTTTACACCCTTTCAAACTGCTAGGTTGGCAGAAGCTGGGACGAGTAACGGGAGCTCATTCTGTTACGCGGTGCTAGGGATTCGAACCGCCGAACTGCCGACCTTTCTGATTGACAAGCTCAGCGTCTTAGCCGCTGAGCCACCACGTCCCCGTTGTGTCCTAAAGAGGAGACAGTTTGCTGGAGGACACTTGCCTTTTCCAGCCAGGAAGTGATTCCAGTCCTTTCATTTTACAAGGGATGCAGGAGGAAGTGGACGTGTGGTTTCCCCAGCCAATGTTTTGACAGAGGGGAAACAATGAAAAAGAGATAGTTGCAAATGACTTGGGTGGATGGCTGTTTGACTTCCCAGACCATTTAAAGAAGGTTTGCTTGAATGAGAGTTTTTTTTCCTTTCACCTTAGGCTGCATCACAGGTTATCCTAAGCAAACACGCTCCGTATCAGAAGACACAAGAAACTGTATGATTAACCCACCGGTGAGTTCCTGGACTTTGCCCCAAATGTGTGTTCTTCTAATATGTTAGAACAGTTTCTCTCCACCACCGCCCTCCCAAAAAACGTTCTTGTCAACTTCTGGTGCCCGAGCAAAGCCTTCCTGGTCAGAAGGGTCAATCCAGTTCCACTGTTGCGGCTCCTAAGTCCTTCAGGATCACGCCAATATGAAATTTGGGAGCCAAATCCCTGTTTTCAGTCATGTCTCTCAGTTTTTTCCTCTTCGCGGTTTGTGTCATAAAAAGTTGTACTGAACCAGTAAAAGAAAGTTTACACGCCTGATTTCTATAAATTACCCCAAGCCAGAAATCTCCACAGGCAGATGGTCAGAAAAGTGGAGATGACAACCAAAACCATCCAACTGAAGCCCTGTGCTCATATTGTGTTTATGGCTGCCTAGGAAGGAAGGAGGGGAGGGAGGGAGGAAGAAAGGGAGGGAGGAAGGGAGGAAGAAGGGGGAGGAAAAGGAGGAAGGGAGGAACAAAGGAGAGAGGAAGGAGGGAGGGAAGGAGGGAGGGAAGGGAGGGAGGGAAGGGAGGGAGGAGGGAAGAAGGAGGGAGGGAAGAAGGAAGGAAGGAAGGAAGGAAGGAAGGAAGGAAGGAAGGAAGGAAGGAAGGAAGGAAGGAAGGAAGGAAGGGAGCCCTGAACTTTTGAAAAGGGTGGGGCTTTGATCACGATTGGGTCCCCCATTTTCCTTTCTTTGACCCCACCCACCTGCCCTGCGGACACCCCGCCCCAACCTCTAATGAAAAAAAAAAAAACCAGTAAAAATTATGATTATTCTGCTGAACTCCCTACTTCATTGTCACATCCTGGGCTATATCATCCTGGAAACTGTGAATTCTTTTCACAAAAAGCCAGGTGCTGTTTCTTCTCAACTCGTGGCTCAGCTGCTAAACTTGAAGGCTGCCCTGTGTTTGCACTTATTTATTGACCGTCATTTGTAGACGGCCTGCCTACCCAACGGACTTGACAGGTCTTGACGTTCTTAAGCCAGGTTATTATTATTTTTTCTGGCAACGAAACAGAACTTGATGGTTCATCCTTTTTCTAACTTCTCAATCTCACCCTGGGGATTTTCTACAGATCTGTCACCCTCAAGCCCTAAATAACTCTGATCCCGTTGAGCTTTTCAAAATCATCTGGGTGCTGGTTATATACACAGCGATAACTGTGCCGTGGTGGGATTCAAACTTTTTTACTAATGTTTATGTGGGTTTGGCTTGGTGGGCGTGACTTGGTGGGTGTGGCAGGGGAAGGAGACTGCAAAATCCCCATTCCCTCCTTCACCCCACTGACCTGCTTTCCAGCTCCATTCTCCTGTGCAGGGCAACCAAAGAAGACCCAGCCGATCAGCTGGGACTCAATGGGAGGCAGAGAATAGATGGGGGCGGGGCCAGTCAGAGATGGTATTTGCCGGTTCTCCGAACTATTCAAAATGTCTGCTACCAGTTCTCCAGAACTGGTCAGAACCTGCTGAATACCACCTCTGGTACAGACGGTGACCTCTCTTATCCTTCTGTTCCTCTCTTCCCTCTCCTAATTCTCTGCTGCCATGTTTCACTCTGTTGTAAGTACTTGCCACCTACGGCGATTGTGACTGGCGAGCGGCTGAAGGCCCTGCGTGAGCACATGAGAACGCACGATCTGTCAGCCTATATTGTGCCTACCACTGATGCCCACCTGGTAAGTCAAAGACGACAGGAACAGATCCACCGGGTCTCCAGGGATGGGGCAGTGAGGCAGGGAGATGGAAATTCTAACCCTGGTTGAATTTCCACCACCAGATGAACAATAGCAATAGCACTTAGACTTATATATCGCTTCACAGTGCTTTACAGCCCCCTTTAAGCGGTTTACAGAGTCAATCTATCGCCCCCAACAATCTGGGTCCTCGTTTTACTGACCTCGGAAGGATGGGAGGCTGAGTCAACCTCGAGCCAGTCAAGATCAAACTGCTGGCAATAGGCAGAATTAGCCTGCAACCCCTGGGAAGGGAGGGAGGGAGGGAAGAAGAAAGGAAGAAGGGAGAAAGGGAGGGAGGGGGAGGGAAGGAAGAAAGAAAGAAGGCAGGAGGAAGGTAGACAGGTAGGCAGGAGGGATGGGGAGGGAAGGAAGGAAGGAAGGAAGGAAGGAAGGAAGGAAGGAAGGAAGGAAGGAAGGAAGGAAGGAAGGAAGGAAGGAAGGAAGGAAGGAAGGGCAATAACAATTAGACTTAGATGCTGCTTCATCATGCTTTCCAGCCCTCTCTAAACAGTTTACAGAGTAAGCCTATTGCCCCCCAACAATCTGGGTCCTCATTTTACCCACCTCAAAAGGATGGAAAGCTGAGTCAGCAACTTGTAAGCACAGGGTTCTCTTTCTGCAGCCTTCAGACATGATCTTCCTTAGAGAACCCAGCTTCTCACCATTCTCAAGTGGTAAATATGCAGGAAGAGTCGAGGAAGCCCTGACATAAGCTCGAATTTCAAACTCCTACCATAATTCAGTCCCACCTGTCTGGGGAGTCCATGCAGAATCCCAGTCTTAAGGGTCTATGACAATTCACTGCAGCTAACTCGTCACAGCCAACTCGCCATGGAACAACTTTCTGTGGCCCATTCACTGCAGGACAAAGAGTTACACTGATATCAAAGAAATGGTGGAATAGAATCATTAAAGAAAGGTCTAGAGAAACTCTTAGACATCCAGGTCATTGTTGTCCCAAAAGTGCTTTTTTTTTTTTCAAGAGGCAACTGGACTTTCTGGTTTTTCTTTGAAGACATTTTGCTTTTCACCCAAGAAGCTTCTTCAGCTTCTTTCATAAACTTCTTCTGCTCTCAGAGCTGAAGAAGCTTCTCGGATGAGAAGCGAAATGACTTCAAAGAAAAACCAGAAAGTCCAGTTGCCTCTTGAAAAAAAAGAAAAGCACTTTTGGGACACTAAAGAAAGGATGCAAAAGGAGGGATGAAATGAAATCTGAATAACAAAAATGAAAATATTTTAAATCTATTTTACATAAATTGAATTGATAAATTATCCTGTGCCGAATTGTCCTACAGTGAGTTGGCTGTGATGAGTTGTTCCTGGAGAGTTGGCCATGGAGAGGTGGCCATGGACAGTTGGCCATGGAGAATTGGTCATGGAGAGGTGGCCATGGTGAGGTAGCCACAATGAGTTGCTCATGGAAAGTTGGCCTTGGAGAGTTGGCCATGATGAGGTGGCCATGGAGAGTGGGCCATGGAGAGTGGGCCATGGAGAGTTGGCCATGGAGAGTTGGCCATGGTGAGGTGGCCATGGAGAGTTGGCCAAGATGAGGTGGTCACAGTGAATTGGCCATGGAGAGTTGGCCATGGTGAGGTGACCATGGAGAGTTGGCCATGGTGAGGTGGCCATGGAGAGTTGGCCATGATGAGGTGGTCACAGTGAATTGGCCATGGAGAGTTGGCCATGGTGAGGTGGCCACAGTGAGTTGGCTCTGAGAAGTTGTCCCACTCCAAGTCTTAGCTACAAAAGATTACTTAGGGGATCTACTAAACGAGTATCGAGTTTTCTGAAAAGTGAAGAGGCTAGATAGGCCTGGGATCCTGTTCGCATGGGGCAGCCAGGGGCCGTCTCTTGTTTCTGAAAAACCTTCCCATCTTCCAGAGTGAATACATCGCAGAACGGGACAAGCGACTCACTTGGATGTCGGGTTTTTCAGGATCGTCTGGTGAGTCCTCTTCCAGATCTCCAGCAACCCTCAACCCGCTACATTTCTTAGTTGAACCTCAGGTCGTCAGGCATCAAATTAGCAGCTGTTCTGAATGCCCATTCAAGTGATCAAGTCCTTGACTTACAACAGTTCATGTAGAGACGGTTCGAAGTTGCCACGGCACTAAAAAATAAGTGACTTATGGCCATTTTTCACACTTACGACCGTTGCAGCATCCCCACGATCACGTGAATCAAAATTCAGGCAATTGACTCCTATTTATGATGGTCTCAACGTCCCAGGTTCGCATGATCATCTTTTGCGACCTTCTGATAAAGCCAAGACAATGGGGAAGCCAAATCCACTTAACAATGGGGTTACTACAGGGGTCCCCAACCACCGGTCTGCGGACCGGTACCGGTCCGTGGAACAAGTCCTACCGGGCCGTTGGTTTGCTGGGCGCCGCCATCTTTTTTTGATGAAAAAGTGCTTCCAGTGAGCTTTTCCGGGTAGAAAGCTCACCGGAAGCACTTTTTCGTCAAAAAAAGATGGCGGTGCCCAGCTGATGCCGGTACCGGGCCGCGGCGCCCAGCTGATGCCGGTACCGGGCCGCGGCATAAAAAAGGTTGGGGATCCCTGGGTTACTAGCTTCACAACTGCAGTGTGATTCACTTAACAACTGTGGCAAGACAGATTGTAAAATGAAGCAAAATTCACTTAAGTTTCATTTAGAACCAAAATTTTGGCCTCAGTTGTGGTCGTAATTTGAGGACTACCTGTAGGAACTATGAACTAAGCAAAAAATAATAAAGTATAATCCATACATCCCACCCCAAACATCTTTCCCATTGTAACTTCCTTGAAAATAGTACAGTGGCACCCTAGGGCAAGGCTGAGTAAATTAGATCAGGCGTCACCAACCTTTTGGACCTCAGAGACCACCAAATTCATAATTTTAAATCCCGCCAACCAGAAACCCTGGGCAAATCCCCCCAAAAAAGTCTGCAGGAAAATTCCCCACCCCGTTTTCCTAACAATCGATCATTCTTTATTTGGGATCGCAGGATACCGTCTCCAGCTCTGTTCTCAGGGCGGTGGGGGGAGGGAGAGAGACTTTTGGCTTCATGCAAGGAAAGCAGCAGAAGCAGCAGAAGTCTTTCCTTCTCGCCCCCCAATTCCGCCAGAAATGAGTCTTTGTGAGGCTTGTTGCACCGGCGCAGCCTCTTGGAGCAGGAGGCCTTGCAGGGTCCCAAGGACTCATTTCTGGTGGAGTTTGGGGGAGAGAAAGAAAGGCTTTTGCTGCTTTCCTTGCATGCAGCCAAAAGCAGAAGAAGAAAGAAGCGGAAAGAATCAGCATGGTGGCGAGGCCAGATGCGTGGGGTGAGTGGGGCAAGTTTCTACCCTTTCCCCCCTCCCCTCACTACCTTGTGGTGCTCGCAACGCAAGCGACGCAAGCCTTGTGTTCCCGCGGGCCATGTGGGCGGCGCAGCCTTGTGTTCCCACGCAGTCTGGATTAACTGCTTTGGGGGTGACATTTCTCTGCGGACCACCAAAATTTTCTTGTGGACCACCAGTGGTCCCCAGCCCACTGGTTGGCAAACACAGACCTAGATCATATTTTTTGCTGTGTGGAATATACAAAAGCCACTGTGCTGGGCTTACAATGGCTCATCTCCAGTCCCAGGATAAATGCAACGTCAGATCACTCCACCCCGTGGGTGAATTATGACTATGGTTAAGAAAGAAAAAAAGAAAAAAGAACAAATGTCTGTATGCAAAAGAATAAAAATGAAAGGCATTTTTTTTCTTACTGAATCTTGCCCCAGTAGAACTGCAGAGCTACGGCTCTATTTAATGGCTTCAAGATGCTTAAATGTGTTAGATGCATTCCCATTTTGAGCACTTTCTAAAAAGCAAACATAAAGAGAGATAAACCTCCCACGTGTAATTTCCCACATCTGTCGCCCAATCGCTGAACCTAGAAATGTATGTAAACTAAAAATGTCTCCACAGCTTTCTCTAGTCATCTGACCTTAGCAGATTTCAGAAAAGGCACACTTGAGATTTAAAAAAACCTCACGCGTAGCATTAATTGGCAAAATATTTTCACCTTGCTTGGGAGATGGATTTCAGGGAGACTAATACTTACTCTCAGTTTAGACCTAAACATCTTAATCAGTGGTGGAATTCAAAAAATTTTACGACTGGTTCTGTGGGCATGGCTTGGTGGGCGTGGCTTGGTGGGCGTCCCCACCCCACTAACCTGCTTTCCAGCTCCGTTCTCCTGTGCAGGGCAACCAAAGAAGACCCAGCCAATGACCTGGGACTCAATGGGAGGCAGAGATGGGGGCAGGGTCAGTCCGAGGTGGGATTTGCCGGTTCTCTGAACTACTCAAAATTTCCGCTACCGGCCCAAAATTGGAAGAGTGATAAAATACTGATAGAGGGAAAAATAATTGAAAAAATATTTGAATGTGGAGAAATGAATAGATTGATGCTAGAAATTAAAGAAAAAGAAGAAATTGGATATTACAGGGTATGGAATATGTTTTATCAATGGATAGAGAATAGAACAACCTAAAAAAGATTTGATGTATTTATAGAGCAATTAGAGAAATTTAAGCAAAGTTATAACGTGTGATATTATTATGTATATGGGAATATATATGGGAACATTGATGTATTGTTAGATTTGATAAGAAGAATATCATATATAATGTTTAAATAATTGAAATATGTACCCAAGTTGACGCACGATTGAAATGGAATGATTGTTTTCTATGAAAACAATTAAAACGTTATTTTAAAAAAAATTCCGCTACCAGTTCTCCAGAACTGAATATCCCCTCTGATCTTAACTTATAATAAAGATTCACATGCTATGAAGCTCATGCAGTGTGTCCCTTCATTACCAACCAGAAAATGACATCCTGGAAAAACAGCAGTGAAAACTAAACTTAAGAATAAGTTGTTTTCCAAATAGATTTTGTTTTCTCAGCCCCTCTGATTTTTAGCATTTCATCCTTAGGGACTGGCGTGATCACCCTGCAAAAAGCTGTTCTCTTCACGGACAGCCGGTACTGGATCCAGGCGGAGCGTCAGATGGACTGCAACTGGGAGCTGCAGAAATCAGGTATGTCCTTGTCTTAATTTTATCTTAGAGCTCCACGTTCTCTTTTCAGCTCCAGTGCTGCCAAACTATCTCTTAGCCAGGTAAGCAATGTCCTAAAGTAATGTTCCTCAGCTGGGCAACTTTAAAATGAATTGAACAGAATAACAGAGTTGGAAGGGACCTTGGAGGTCTTCTAGTCCAACCCCATGCTTAGGCAGGAAATCCTATACTACTTCAGACAAATGGTTATCCAATCTCTTCTTTAAAAACTTCCAGTGTTGGAGCATTTACAACTTTGGAGGCAAGTTGTTCCACTGGTTAATTATTCTCACTATCAGGAAAATTGTCCTTAGTTCTAGGTTGCTTCTCTCCTTGATTAGTTTCCACCCATTGCTTCTTGTCCTGCCCTCAGGTGCTTTGGAGAATAGCTTGACTTCCTCTTCTTTGTGGCAACCCCTGAGATATTGCAGCACTGCTATCATGTGTCCCCTTGTCCTTCTTTTCATCAGACTAGACATACCCAATTCCTGTAACCGTTCTTCATATGTTTTAGCCTCCAGTCCCCTAATCCTCTTTGTTGCTCTTCTCCGCACTCTTTCCGGAGTCTCAACATCTTTTTTACATCATGGTGACCAAAACTGGATGCAGTATTCCAGGTGTGGCCTTACCAAGGCATTATAAGGTATAGACTTCACCTCCCAGAATTCCCTAGCCAGCTAGAGAATTCTGGGAGTTGAACTCCACACATGTTAAAGATGCCAATCCCACCATCCTAAAGCAATCTTCTCCAAACTTCCTTGCTCCAGATGTGTTGGGACCACAACTCTCAGAATCTCCCAGCCAGAAGAGCATGTGAACTGGGTACCACTTGAGTTGCTGAGCTAACATTGCTGGGGTTAGGGCAAGAAAGAGAATCCTAAGATGCTTTATTATAACCTAGGACTAGCTGGTTGGTTCCAATAAAAAATGTGTCTCTGAAGGCATGAAGAACCAGGAACTACTGCAGAAGCTGCCGGACAACAATCCCCATGTCTTCTTACCATCCCTTCTTACTAGGGGATTCTGAGAGTTGTGATCGCAACACATCTGGGAAAACGTAGTTTGGAGAAGAAGGTGAGCTGCTTCACAGTGGGTTGGTTACAGTGAGTTCCCTGAAGCGAGTTGGCCATGGAGAGTTGGCCATGGAGAGTTGGCCATGGAGTGTTGGCCATGGTGAGGTGGCCACAGCGAGTTGGCTGTGGCAAGTTATCCCGTTCCAATTTTCCAGTCCATCCCTGAAAGTCCTAGAAATCAATCCTGGGTCTTCTGCTTACTCAGAAAGTGCTCAACCACTGTTCCATGGTCCTTCCTACAATTGATTCACAGGCTTGCTCTTATGACCACTGAAATGGTACTCAGCTCCTGCCATGTTGGTCCTGTTGTGGCCCGCCGGTGGCTGGCAGAGCTGGCAGCAGAGTTGGACAGCGAGGAGGTTGGGGAGGAACCTGGGCCAGTCCTAGAGGCTGAAGAAGACTTGTACGAGGGCTCTGTGTCAGAGGCAGAGATGGGGCCAGGACAGTCTGGCAGTTGTCAGTTGCCTTCGGATCAGACAGCAGTGAGGCGGGGGAGTAGCTGGAGCCGGTTCCCAGCTTGCGGATGCACAGAGCTGCCAAAAGGAAAGAACAATTACAAACTCAGGGTCAAAGTGGGAGTAAGGCCACAGGTGAACAATGAATGGCCCCTTCCATAAGGATTAAAAGAGGAGCAAAAGGGGAGGGGGGTTTTTGCAGGAACCAATTCATTGTTCATTCCATCAATGTGAAGAACTGTCTGTGCATCCTAGAGACTCTGTGCTAAGCCCTTCCTTGTTAGCACTGCATTTGGAAATATTTACCAGACAACTTTCCAAGATAGATAAGGTTTGAGCTCCTAATTATACCCTTGAAAGAGTGCTAGGCCGTTGGCTGAATATAAATGCAAGAAATTCACATTTGTTTAATAAAAGTATTTGGTGGGGACCAAGAGTCTGCTTAGTGCTTTTTGGGGAAGCCTAAGACAGAACAGATCCATGCTTGCAAAACCTAGTCCTGCTGCTAATTCAGAGAAAGAGGCATGGGTCCCTGATGTCTTCTCTTTTGCAGCATGGGTCACCTCTATTGGACAATGGCTACTCAATGAAGTTCCTGCTGGGGAAACCGTTGGATTGGACCCCTTCCTCTTTTCTGTCGGTATGGAGCATCTTTGGAGTTTCTCGGGCACATCAGGACAGGCTCAAGAAGGAGGTGGTTGGTTCAACCAAGGAAGACGAGGCTACCTTACTGCCCTGCATTAGCACTGAAATGCTGAAATGCCAGCTGTTGTGATGTCCCCCATCTCCCATTACAGTCTCCTAGCTGACGACAGCCGTTCTGCTGTGATGTTTCAAGATCTCTCCTTCCCATTGTCTTTCCCTAGACACTTGGGACAGCTATCACCAGATCCTGGAAGGTGCCAATAGGACCTTGAATATGCCTGAAGTGAACCTGGTGGACCTCGTGTGGGGCAGCGAGCGGCTTCCTCCGCCTACCAACACAATCTATCGCCTTACAGATGACTTCATTGGTATGTTTGGGGTCCAAAGTGCCAAGTGGAGATTGGTGGGAAGGTTGGGCCACTTTGTCTGGAGACAAAGGATGTTTGTAGTTCAATATTTGTCTGGCACGAAGGATCCGGAACATTCATTAAGTTGTGGCACAGAAGATTTATTCAAGTCTATGCTCAAGAGTCTAATCAATTAAAATTCAGTAATAAATTGGCGGCAGATAAGGGTCAACAAAATTCAAAAGAAGTTGGATTTGGAGTTGGACTTGGATCATTTATGGCAACGTAAGGAATCTAAGTTGATGACATATTTAACTCCTCCAACACCAACACCACCCCAGCTCTGTCTGCTCTTCTGCAATATTTCTGGAAGGAACTCAGTTTGAGAAAGGTAGTCTTACGGCAATCCTCCTCACCTTAAATTGGCTACCTAGCAGTTCTGCTGTTTAATAGAAGCAGCACTTCAGGCCATAAGACAAAGGTATTGTTTTTCTTGCGCTCTTGGGCCAGACCAGTTGCTCTTTTATTGTGAAGGCCAGGAGATTGGCATTTTCATCAGTCAGACCTCCCACTCCTATGACCTTTCCTTCCTTTAGGAAGTACCTGGCAAGAGAAGGTTGCCCACGCTCGGTCGCAGATGGAGCAAAACAACAAGGAGCCCACAGCAATTTTGCTCTCTGGCCTTGAGGAGACGGCATGTAAGATGGTTAATATTTAACAGGCATCTTTTTATACCTTTCTCTCCTAGATCCCTCCTTCTCTCTCCCTCCCCCTCTCCCTCCCTCCCTCCCTCCCTCCCTCTCTCCTCCCTCTCCCTCTCATTCTATCTATCATCTATCTAGATATGTATCTGTCTATCTGTCTATCTAGATATGTATCTATCTAGACATGCATTTATCTATTTAGACATCTGTCTGTCTATATCTATAATCTATAGATATGTATCTGTCTATCTAGATATGTATCTGTCTGTCTATTTATCTATTTAGATATCTAGATATGTATGTATGCCTATCTAGACATGTATCTATCTAGATATGTATGTATGTATGTCTATCTAGATATGCATCTATCTAGATATCTGTCGATCTGCATCTACCTATCTATCTTCTATCTAGATCATCTATCTCTATTTCCATCTCTATATCCATCAACTAGCTAGTTAGCTACTGTATCTCCAACCTTAATTTTATAAATATCTCAAGGCGTTGAACACATACCTAATACTCCTTCCTCCTCCTTTGTTCTTCCCAATAACAACCGAAGTTGGGCCCAAAGTCACAAGATACTTTCATGTCTAAGTTTGTACTAGAATTCATAGTGTCCAGGTTTCTAGCCTGTAAACACTAAGCAGTTTACAGAGTCAGCTTATTGCCCCCAACAATCTGAGCCCCTATTTGACCAACCTTGGAAGGACTGAAGGCTGAGTCAACCTAGTCAGTCAGAATCGAACTGCCAATCTGCAATACTGTGTTCCAACCACTGGGTGACCATGGCTCTGCCCCGCATATGAAAGATTCGGTCGTGTGTCTTGTTTCCTCATTACCCAAAAGCTCTAGTTATCTCTTCTTCCCATCTTTGTCTCAATTTTTTCTTCCTGGCTCCCTGCGGTGGCCTTGGCTGCTTCCCTGTCCCTCTTCTGCTCTCCTCTCTTCCTTTAATTGCTTAACGGCTGTCCTGGTTTAATGAGGGAGACATTACAGACTGTCTTTTTGTTCCCCCCGTAGGGCTCTTCAATCTTCGAGGAGATGACATTCCTTACACCCCCGTCTTCTACGCTTACACTCTTCTCACCAAGACAGATATCAGGTACTTGATCTCCCTGCAACAGTTCAGACAACAGTCTGGTTCCCATCGTAAGTGGGAGCTTCCGCAAATCGTGGCCAGAGTCCAACTGAGTGGTCAGCCACCCCCTTTCCATTTCTTTCCTTTCCCCTCCCATTCTGTTTTTCTTTTGATTTTCCATCTCTACCCCCACAGTTCAGTATGCTCAGACATCTTTGGGCTGTCTTTAGGAGAGAGAATCGCCTTCTTTATCTTCCCATTGTTTTGCAAAGACTTTTTTGCTCCCATGGGTTCTCTTAAGATCCCTTTTCTGTGCAGAGTCATTTGGGTGGCATATGCTGGAGTTGCTGAGGTCCTCGTAATCATCTCTGCAGTTCTTGAGGAAAACAGAGGAACTAAGGAAGCCCTTGGTACATATCTGAAATCCAGGAGATGCAGGAGAATCCAGCTATCATCCAGTTTTAGGGCTTAGAGCAGGGATGTCCAACCTCATCAACTTTAAGTCTTGTGGACCTCAACTCCCAGAATTGTCCATGCTGGCTGGAGAATCCTGGGAGTTGAAGTCCACAGGTCTTTGTTGTGACCAAGGCTTCTGAGACCATAATTACGCACAAGCTTATTTTAAAAACAAGTCTTGTTTTATTGCAGTGCTGGGAATTATTTTTATTCCCAGCCAGTAATTAATCTCAAACAGTCCCTCAAGATAAGCACCCACCTTGCTTTCCTGTGAAATGCTGCCAATAGCAGAAGTGTCAAATAAACTAGAACAAAAACCAACCGAAGTACAAAGAGCTTCAAGAATGAGTCTGAACCGAACAAACGACTTTGCTTCCTGCAAAGATTTCATCATCTTTGCCTGTCCTTTATCCCTTAGGGGAGGGGCAATCACTTCCCAGCCTTACTCCCGAGTCACCCCTTTTGTCTCAGCTGCTCTCACCTTCTAGCAGTTCTGCGCACATGCGCACTGGGAACAGGCTCCCCTGGTTCTTCTGCCTTGCTGCTGCTAGACTCCGGAGGCTCCGGAGTCAGCACACAACTCCCAGATGGCCCTGGCCCCATCCCTGCATCAAACACAGGACCCTCGTCCAAGTCCTCTCCAGATTCCCAGATTGGTCCCTGTACTTGCCCACTGTTCGATTCTGCTGCCAGCTACACCGGCTGCCAGTAAACCACAACAGGAAGGCCTTGGTACACATTTGAAAGCCTTGTAAGATCTAGGAGAACATCACGGGGCTGTCCAGTTTTAGGACTTAGAGCAGGGATGTCCAACCTTGTCAACTTTAAGATTTGTGGACCTCGAGACGAACAAAAAACCCAATAAAAATAAAAAATAAAAAGACTTGTGGACCTCAACTCCCAGAATTGTCCATGCTGGCTGGAGAATCCTGGGAGTTGAAGTCCACAGGTCTTAAAGTTGACAAGGTTGGACACCAGCGGTTTGGACCCCTGAGTTAAATGTTGCATCCCTCTATTAATACAACTTAGGATTGCATTAGCTTTTTTGGCTGCTGCTGCACATGGCTGACTCATATTTAGCTGGTTGTCCACTAAGACTCCAAGATCCCTCTCACAGTTCCTGCTATTGAGCCTGGTTTCACCCATTCTGTATGTGTCCTTTTGGTTTTTCTTGCCTAAATGTAGGACTTTACTTTTCTCTACAGTGAATTTCATTTTGTTAGATAGGGCCCAGTGTTGTAGTCTGTGAAGATCCAGCTGGATCTTGAGCCTATCTTCTTGGGTGTTAGCTATTCCTGCCAGCGTAATATCATCTGCAAATTTGGTAAGCTCCCCTTCTATTCCCTCATTGCAAACGGAATATAAGGACGTCAGGGCAAAGAGACTTTTGACCATGGCAGCAACGTGGCATGTCCACATTTAGAGACAGCAAAAGGGTTGGTCTGTGTGCTTCCAAAGCCTCTTGGCTGGATTTCACAAAGGAATCCAAGTGCTAGCTGGATCTTTGAAACCAGCTGGTACTTTGAACCAGACTAGAACTCTGAACTGATGTGGCAAGACGAGGCTTATGTTCTCAAGGAGGAAATGGCTTTACAGGGCTTGTAAAATAAAATAAAAAAACATGGCGAGAATGGGAAAAGAGCCATGTTTATATGGAGCGAACTTTGTGTGGTTGAAAGCAAGCATACATCTTGCATTTGAATTCACAGGCACACAAAGGCAGAGGGAAGACTTCGGGTTGTGAAAAGCCTGCAGTGGGTCTGCCTCACAGCGCTTTGTGTTCAAATAACTTCACTGTTTAGGATAGCGCAGATGGGGAGGTTTTAAAATAAATGAATGGTTCCACCCTCATTCGTGTTATATTTGTATATATTTTCGGCAATCAGCAAAACAAACGCGAGGGAAGAGATGTCAATCTGATGTCCTCCAGATGTCTTGCACTAAAGTTCCAAGAGCCTTTGAACATATGGGAATTGTAGTTCAGTGTATCTGGAACAGAGCGAGTTGAAGAAAGCTGACTTAAGCCTTTTTCTTCATTGCTTGGAGAATAGTTGTGGAAATGCCTTTGAACCCCAGGAGAGGCCCATTCTTAGTCGTTGGTCAGTGGGTTGAAAGCTGCAAGAAGTGGGCTGAAATCTTGGCATGGCCAAAATTCAGTGGGTCGACGTTATGTCAGTCATCAGCTCTTAACCATGCCTAATTGGCAAAGGGGCTATGGGGCTAAAAGAAGGAAGCATGGCCAGGAAATGCTACTCTCCAACCCCATGGAACAATAGTGGGATGAACAGGAATACTTCTAACATGATTGGAGCTCTCCTACGAATGCTGAACCACAACTCCCAGCAGCCTAGCCAGCATGGCCAATGGGAAGGACGCTGGGAGATGTAGCTGCCCAACATTTGGAAAGAATAGAATAGAATAAGGAACAGAACAGAACAGAACAGAATAGAATAGAATAGAATAGGGAATAGAATAGAATAGAATAGAATAGAATAGAATAGAATAGAATAGAATAGAATAGAATAGAATAGAATAGAATAGAATAGAATAGAATAGAATAGAATAGAATAGAATTCTTTATTGGCCAAGTGTGATTGGACACACAAGGAATTTGTCTTGGTGCAAATGCTCTCAGTGTACATAAAAGAAAAGAGACATTCTTCAAGAGTCAAGAATCATAAGGTGCAACACTTAATAATAGTCATAGGGTCTAATAAACAATCAAATCATACTAGGAAACAGCAAATATAGGCCACATTTTCCCCATTAAACTCATTTCCAATGGGACCTCTCAAGTTTCCTTTGATTTGCCCCCAGTCTGTTTGTGAACCGCAGTCGGCTGAGCACCGAAGCCCTCCAGATGTTGACCGCAGGGTGTCCGGGATCTCTGTGTGTGAAGGTGGAAGACTACGGCCAGATAGGTGACAGCGTGAGAAAATATGCCCACCAAGATGGCGTGATGATCTGGATCGGAACAGAATACACAACTCTGGGGCTTTACAAGGAGATCCCTCAAGTAAGAGAGAAGAGATAAAGAAAGATAAGCTAATTCTTCTTCTTCCCCCAACCTTTCCTAATCTCTTATTTCTCCCACTATTATAAGGAGAGCAGTATCTCCTAACCTCTCCCCACCTGTGAGCTATCTCTTCTAACACCTGCAATTAAGGAGAAACTTCCTAGCATTCCACTCCACTCCATTCCATGCTAAATTCCCACTTTCCTTTTTCGCAGGAAAACCTCTTAGAGGATGATTTCTCTCCTGTCATGCTCTCCAAGGCTGTCAAAAACTCCAAGGAGCAGAAGATGATGGAAGCCGCTCATGTATGTAATCCGCAGCAGGGACACTCATCCCCTGAGATGCAATGACCTTGAGAGCCAAGGTCCAAAAGGACCTTCGGGAATCAACTCCCACAGCTGGAAAGATTTTGAGTGTTGCATAATTGTGAAGCTCCGTGAAGCAAAGGGGCCTAAAAGCTGAAGGACAGAGAGGCAAGGAGGCGGACGTTAGAAGAACACCGTGTGAACTCATAAGTTCTCAGGGGATTTTCTGGTTTTTTAGTTCCTTTTAAATGGGTGGCCTTAACTGCAGATATTTTGGATCGATGTGTTGCCGATTCTTTTCTCTGCAAGCTGGTTTTTCGCCATGTGCAAACAAATATACGCAGGGACCTCTTCTTCCCCGTTCTGCTTTTATAAATCTCATGGAGAAGGAGAGTCAAAATGTGTGAGAGGCCTTTTTTTTGGTTAATGTTCTAGTTTCCACCGAAGATAAAAATAGGCTTGGGAAGGCCGGGAGGCTGGAAATTGGTCCTGGAACCACACTTTAGTAGCTGTGTACACATGGGCGTGTTTAACTTGGTTTTTAAATTAACCTATTTTGAAGAGGTGGGATTCTCCCAATGGACTGGATCTCACTAACCCCAAAAGCCAGATTTGCACATCAGGATAAACCATAAAAAAACCTGCAAACATTATTTCAAACTAACCCAAGCAGACTGTTGTGTAAATATAGCTCCAAGGGTTTTACTAACCCAGGGAAAGTGCTGAGAGAGCAGAACTAAAAATTCCTTGTTTAAATCTTATTCTGATTCCAGCAAAAATAAAAATAAAAACAAGGCATGGGTGTTTTCCTATCCAATCCTGATATTGCAACTTCTCCCCTCCTTGCCTGTTCTCCTGCTCTGGTGCAGGGTGAGTGACGTTGGCCCTTACCTGGGTTTCTCTTTGCTTTGCATTGGCTCAGATACGTGATGCTGTGGCGCTGATCCAGTATTTGGTTTGGTTAGAAAAGAACGTGCCCAAGAACTCTGTGGATGAGGTGTCTGGAGCACATTACCTGGACACGCTACGAAGGTCAGTTTGAATGGGGTGATTTTAGGTGCTGCTAATAAGCAGAGGGGAAATAGTACAACTAGAGGGTCAGGTAAAACATTAGCTGAATGAATGCACCCATTCCCCAAAATGAATGAATGAATGAATGAATGAATGAATCTATCCTACCATCTATCCATTCATTCATCCATCCATCCATCTATCTATTTATCCTACCTTCTATCCATCCATCCATCCATCCATCCATCCATCCATCCATCTATCTATCTATCCATCCATCCCATATCTATCTATCTATCTATCTATCTATCCTACCATCCATCCATCTATCTATCTATCTATCTATCTATCTATCTATCATCTATCTATCTATCATCTTATCTATCTATCCAACCTACAATCCATCTGTCCATTCATCCATCCATCTATCCTATCATCTATCTATCTATTCTATCATCCATCCATCCATCCATCCATCTATTCTATCATATCTCTCTCTCTCTCTCTCTCTCTCTCTCTCTCTCTCTCTCTCTCTCTCTCTCTCTCTCTATCATCTATCTATCATCTATCATCTATCTATTAGAGGCTGCTATGCAAAATTTTGTAGGTTTGTCCAAAATTGATTCCACAAATCGGTTGGCACCTTGATGCTTTGAATGGTCAACCAGAGATCTGATATCTCAAACTAGAGAACTCTCTTGAACTCATCGGATATTAAATTAATGATGCAAATCAACTAGAATAAATCACATAATCCTAGTAAGAAATTGAGCTCAATTGATTCATTACCCTAAAGGATAACATGAATTATTCAAGTTTTAGCTTAGCGCGCTATGCAAACCCAGCGATTGAGAGCTAATTCAAGAAACTCTGATTGTTTTAACACAAGGTGAGGATCCAGTCACAGGATACCAGATGTTCTTTCTTTTTCCACAGGGAAGAGCTCTACTGCCAGGGGCCGAGCTTTGAGACCATCTCAGCTAGTGGCTTGAACGCAGCCTTGGCTCATTACAGGTACTGGGAAGAAGGGGAGGGGGGGAAGTGGGAAGGTTTTAATGGAGGGTGTAGAACAGGCAAGTGTTTTGCATAGAAGCTCTTCCTTATTGAGCAAATGGAGTTAAACATTGGAAGAGTTCAGGCTACTCATCTTCATGTGGCTTATATCTCAACTCTGGGAGGAAATGGAATCAGGTGGCTCTGGAACACCAGATCCCAGAGAGAAAATCCTTACCCTCCTATCCTGCTTGGTGGATTCTGAGCAGAACCTAGTAAGCTGCTGGGGAAAACAGGATGTTTCCTCGCATCCCTCCAGATGCTGTTGGAGAGCAATTCCCATCATTTCAGAATTCCCCTGGTGGCTGGGACTGATGGGACTTAGAGTTCAACAATATTTGGGGGACTATAAATTGCCCATCTCTGCTGGATTCGAGGGATTTGTTTTGAACCGTTGGCCAGTTCAAGTCCTCTTAAGGAGCCATCAGGGAAACTATGTACTAGGATCAGTGACAATCTAGTCAGGTAGACATTCCACTCAACCAGTTTTAATAAGATGCGATGTCGATGTGTTGTAGATATTTTGAAATCCCTCTGATATGAATTCATATTAATATATTATAGCCAAGTTTATCATTGCTATCAGATGACAGGCGTGAATCGGATGATCTTTGATCCTCTTTAGCCGTGGGTCTCTTTGAAAGCAACGTAACGTTCCTTGTTTTTCTTTCAGCCCATCCAATCTTACCGCTCAAAAGCTGTCTCCCAATGAAATATACTTATTGGATTCTGGGGGCCAATATTTGTGAGTATGGCCATCAAGAGCCACCTTCTGGATCAGGGTCAGATGCCAACATTTGGTGAAAACATTTCAAAGAATCTTCCTGGCTAAGGGTTGGAATTGGGGTACACTCAAAGAACAGCTGTTTAATATAATTTATTATGCCTCATTGAATTGATGTTGAGTCTTGGCAACCAAATAGATAAGAGTCTTCTCCAGTAGGATCTTGTCTTTTAGGTCTTCCAACCATACACCCGTATAATTGAATCCATTCACCTTGTGCTGGTTGGCATCTTCCCTTTCCTTCCTCAGATCTTTAGTACAAAGTTGGTTTTGTTTGACCAACCATCCACTTCCTCCTTGGCTGAAATTTTGAGATTGAGGGGCAGCAGAGCGGATCTATCAGAAGAACATCGTCAAAAATAAATAGTCATATTTGATCTTAACAGAGAGGAGTAAAACATAAATACACACACAAGACATTCCTTGGAGGAACAGCAGAATACAGTTGTTAAAAATGTGTTTCAAAGGGTTCTCTTTCAGGATAGAATCAGGCAGGTATTACAAATCTACCTTTGAAAAGAAACTAGAAGCCTTCTGTTGGAAGTTAAAACCCACCCCTCTGCTAGGAAAATGAAATATTTTAGGATATACTAAAAAGACAGAATATTTCCCCTAAAAAGAGTAGAAACTCAGAAGCAGAAACTCACCTCAGAAGCAGAAACTCACCCTTTGCTAATGGGCCATTACTCTGGCCTGGGCCAGTCTATTTTACATAACAAAGATCTACTCCAGGTAGAGCTATAATAGGAATTGCCCAAAGCGCCCTTTCATTACATCATCATCCAGCAAGGCTCAACCAAGCCTGGGACTCAGGGCAGCCTGCAGAGTTGCCCCTGCATGGCCCCATGGGAGCCTGACAACCGATCAGAATACAAGCTCAAATTCAAATCCCAACAGAGGATATAAAACAATTGCACTCTCAGCATATCAGCCCTTCTTTCTTCACCCAAGGCATGTGATCCTGTCCACCATCCAACCATCTTTCCAAGCAGTCACCATGTTTCCAGTGTCTTTCTTCCCCACTTGGAACTGAACCCAGAAGGATAGTTTTTAACAACACTTCCATTCATCAAAGAATTTGAGGCAAAAGTTATTCCTTCGGAATCAAAGGATTTAGTTTTGAATTGCAGTATTGAAAGGACCCTGGTTGGGTATGATTTACTGTGCAACATTGGGACAGTTGGTGACCATTCTTAGAAAATAACCCAGCATCAGAAGAAGAAGAAAAAAAAAACTATTTCTGATCTGCTGTAAATAATCCAGGGACCAGATACCAGACCTGGCTTTACTCAGCTCTCATCCTTTAGAAGTGCTAAAACAAAGATTTTACTCTGGAAAGCAGTCACGATGGCCACAGTCTCAGGATTCTCCTGGGGAAGAAGCCTGAAGACCGGTGGCTTGCTAGCTCAGTGGAGGAAGTTCAGTCTTGAAGTACCTTCTTCCTTGTTTCTCATTTTGTAGTGACGGAACCACAGACATCACTCGGACCATCCACTGGGGGGAGCCCACAGCTTTTCAGAAGGTAAGGCTGATTCCCAAAGACACCTGAAATGGTACGCCTACAGTAGTGTCCACTGCGGCTTTCCTCCCCCCAAAAAATCTCCAGAGATGCCTCGCTTTTTACTTCCTCGCTTGGAAGGATGTTGTTGGCTTGGAAGGTGATTTTTTTTTAAAACACACTGCTATGAGCTTACTCTGGGACTAAGCTTTCAGTTGGCTTTCTCCAGGAAATGCCCTGCCTGACTCCGTGGTTACAGTCTCAACCCCTCTCAGCTTCGACCTCAGACTGTCCACCGTGGACCTCACCCCATTCCTAAGAGGTCCTTAAAGGGGGCGTGCATAAGCGTACCAGTGTGCCTACCGTCCCTGGCTTACTGTCCCCATTTATCTGTATTTACTTCCTTTGTTTATGTTTATGTTCATACTTATACTTGTTGTCTTGTACATGTTTGACAAACAAATAAAGAGAGAAAAGAAAGAAAGAAAGAAAGAAAGAAAGAAAGAAAGAAAGAAAGAAA